GTGTGCCATCACCATAATCCCGTGCACTTCCTTCCCCATCCCCCCCCCGTTTTTGATCCCATTCCCCACTCACTTCCACTTATTTTTAAGTGACAGCATGTTCTCTGATTATGACAACTGCCAGAGTTAAATATTGATAAAACAAAGACTAAGATGACTGTTGGTCTTTTTTTCCCTCGTTGGTACAATGAGAAAACATGAATGTGTATAAAATTAGCAGACGTGGGCAATGTTTCTGCAAGAGGATCTGTGGCTCAGTAAAGGAAATCATTAAAGTGAATTAGGGAAAAGTGAGCAGTTTTCCACAGAGAAGGGACAAAGTACATTCCAGGTAGAGAGATTAATGTCAAAGCACAGGCACAGAATGGTAGAAACCTGGGGCTGGCTTTTAGTTGGTAGTGGACCCCGACCAGGAGAAAAATTGCATGATTTCTTTATGGGAGTTCAAAGTTGAGGTTCAGTTCATTATTTTACAAGCTAGTTTTCATGGTCATAAAAGTAGTCATCAATCCACATGGGCAGGCGTGTAGGCTGAGGTGGTTTTGCACAGACAATGGCTCTCCGTGACCATAGTCCAATGGGGAGGCCACCGCCCTCTCCTGTGTTCTGATGCCTTTATCTTTCAGCAGTCATTTTACCTTCTGTTTTTTACTCTTCCACCTTTTACATGTTCTTCCAAATATAATGCCTGTGTATTTTTAAGACTAATTTTATTTATGCAAACAAGAACTGGTATAGGCCAGAGGAGTGGGGGTGAGAGGATTCACCAGGACAGAGTGGGGAGCAGAACAGGTAGATCAACTGAAATACACTCTGAGGAGGGCAGTGAGCAAGGCAGAGGGGTCTGCACCATGTGGGTTAGCTCCCTCTCTGGCATCTAATTCATGATGTGTAACTGCCAAAAGCTTGATAGTGCTGAGACTTAACCCCTTGTGCTACCAGGAAGGTGCATAGTGTCTGTATTTTTGAATGAAGGACAAACTCACTTTCTTCCAAGTAAGACTCTCAGAGAAGTGATACTTCCAAAATATTCTCCAGATAATTCTTTCTTTCTTGGTGGTCCTCCTCCCCTTAGCTAACCACAGAGTTTGACCTCTCCAAGGTAGGAGTGTGGGGTGACAGCAAATGGGGGCAAAGGAAGTAGCAATGTTCTTAAGACATAAAACAAGATGAGACAAGACTGAAAAGTATAGTTGTCCAGACAGAGACTGGTATCTGATTCCTACCTGAGAAACTTAATGGACAAGAAACCATGGTTGGCGCAGGGAGAGATCAGGGTGTCCTTCCAAAATTTATTGGGACAAAGAGCTAGCTAGGGGATGCTCAAGAGAAAACAAGCCCAGTTATATCCTGACCAAAAGGTAGTTTAGAGGGAGAACAGTTTCAGCAGAGAAGATGGTCATGGACTTTTGTGTCTCCGTTCCAGCGATGGACTAAGGGGTCCCCAAGTGGAGTATGTAGTCCCATGGTAAGGGAAGTCCAGGTGAGGGGTAACCAGTGGCGGCTCAGCTTCCCCAAACATTATAAAATCACTCATGATAATCAGCTTCAGACAAAATGCCCTAGCTAGCTCTTTGTCCCAATAAGTTTTGGAAGGACACCCTGATCTCTCCCTGCGCCAACCATGGTTTCTTGTCCATAAAGTTTCTCAGGTATGAATCAGATACCAGTCTCTGTCTGGACAACTATTCTTTTTCAGTCTTGTCTTGTCTTGTTTAATGCTTTCCACTTCTGAGTCATCTTCCCTTTCTTAATGATTGCCCACAGTGTAATATTTTAAAGCAAAGGGCATATATTCACATTTTTTTTCATAATACAGATGGAAGAAGAAGAGTCCACATTCACCTAACAGTGCACTCACCCTTTAGTCTATGCTTTGTTAATACTTAACCTAACCCTGGTAGTTTTCATGTCTCAGGACACATGCTGTGACTTTTTAAAATAAGTGGAAGTGCCAAGTCATTTAAAAGAGGAATGGTTAATCTCTTTAACACAAGCTGTTAGAACAACTGGATATCCCTATGGGGAAAAATGAACCATGTCATTAAACATACCAAATGAAACCGTGTCATTAAATAGATGAAACATAATTTAAGATAAATCATAGAGCAAAATGTGAAGTTTTTACAATAATGTTCTAAATGGAAGGATATCTTCATGGCTTAAACAGAGATATATAAGACACAACAAATACTGCATACAAAAACACTGTTGTTTACTAAACCATAAATACTGTTGTTTAGTTTCTCGGGATACCCCAAATTCATGTTGTTCTAGTAACTTCAGAATGTGACCTTAATGTATATAAAACTCCCCTTAAAAAATTAAATTAATAAAATCTTTGATTTGCAGCTTTTGAGAAAAAGTCTCAGATATCCTGATTTTTGTTACATATTTATTCATTCACTTTTTTTATTCATAAAACTTATTTGTGCTGAATACCATGTGAATTGCTTAACTAATGACCAGCAACTTATTTCTAAAAATTGTCTAAGTGAGAAAAAGTGGGTTCTTCTTGGAAATATATTTAAAAATTCCTATTACAGACTACCTGGTGCAAGCTATATATAGATTTATTTGGGAGGTATTTTCTCAGGTGAAAAGTAACTGTTGAATTGAGATGATTAAATGTTATTGAATGTTGTGTTATATCTATAATAAATCAAATATTCCATGAAAGCCTCATTTCTCACAATTCTGGTATTTAAAGTAACCTGGCTAAGCTGTAAATGCAATAAAACTGTTCCCAGGAAAGAACTGTTCTCATGAAAGCAAAGTATATGTGGAACCACAAAATAATAAGATTTCTTTTTCAAAATTCACTTCCAAATTAACCATTATGCATTGCACATAATCTACCTCCTGTTTTGTGCCAAGGTCCCACCTCACATCACTCTTTTCTCCTACTCCAAGCATGCCCACTTTCCCTCAAGTCCTAGGACAGGTCAGATACTTTGCACTAATGGTCTTAGGTCACCTCCTCAGAGAGACTATCTCTGACTATGTTCTCTATCTCAGTAACCTATTTATTTTAGGAGGGGGCACACATCACTCCCTATTTTATTTACTCATTTACTTGTTATTGTCACCCCCTAGGAGGAAAAGCCAATAAAAAGTGTCCTTGTTTTCAGTCCCCCCTGCAGGGCACTGGGTCTCACTAGCTCTTGTGGTTTGTATACAAGCTATTGGATATGATTTTGGAAATTTTCTTGCTAATGAAAATTTGAGATGGTGAAACAGATATTCTATTTTTAATACAAGAATTCCCAAATAGGCTTTTTCTTGGAAGACTGGGACATCAAATGAAATTAAAAAATGAAAATTTAGTCATAGTTCTTAAGAATTACTTGGTGTCGTTTTATGAGTTTACTGTTCCTCAAAAATTCAAAATTTGATATTATTCTGCCTTATATTACTTTCATTTTACAAATATTTGTTGGCTTAAAAAAGATGCAATGCTCTTCTCAATGTTTTCTGGCTAATTCATTCTATATTAGTTATTTCTACAAACAATCAATTTCTTTTTTAACTTCTTGGATTTCCCCACCTTTTATTGAATTCCTTCTTTCCTATCCCGTGATATTTGATTATTGAAAGAAGCCACATCATTTGTAGAATTTCTCAATTGTTGACTTGGTTAACTTTATCTTTTTGGTGTTAAACATTCCTCTACATTCAACCCTACCCCACCCTGCTATATAAATATTTGCTCATCAGATTAAAGTTTTGGTTTTAAACGTCTTTTTCTCAGTCAAGAATATTTCTTATTTCATTTACTTTTACTGTGTCTTGCCAGGAGGAACATGGTATTTGGTTGCCTCACTTTCAGTGATGTTAAAGTTTATAAGTGGACTAAAGTGTTGCCAGTCTGACTTATTCATTATTAAATTCCCCATCAGTCTTTTTACCTAGGAATTTTGGCCTGATTTAAACTCGCAGGATATGAGTGGATAGGTGTGATAAAACAAAGAGGGTCAATGGATAGGTGTGATAAAACAAAGAGGTCAATGGATAGGTGTGATAAAACAAAGAGGTCAATGGATAGGTGTGATAAAACAAAGAGGTCTCGTTCTTTGGAAACTTTTCACTGCTCTGCCCAACTATTACAGCCACTGACGGCCTAATTTCATTGTCTCGAAAAAATTCATTTAGCTTCAAATGAATCTAAAAATTAAAATGGTGACTTTTAAAAATCATCTCGTATTTGTTTTTCCATGATTTTTCTATCAACTTTTCATCAATCTATTCTGAATTTCCAATCATGTAAGAAAAGCAGGTCATTCCCCCTCCATTTATTATTCTTAGAATAATGAAATGATGCTTACCAATCTGTAAAAGTAGTCACTTTTTATTTTCAACTAAAACTGGATTTCTGTATTTCAAGTGTTTCAACCTATCGGAAAGAAAGTGTCCCATTTATCTGGTATCTGTCCTACGTGAAAGTCTGGGTCCTCCTGGATCGTTGAGAACGTCAGAGTGAGAGCCGGGGCTGGCGGTTCGGCGGGAACTGTAGGGTCTGAGGGTCGGGATACCGGGTACAGGCAGGTGACGTGACCCACGTCTCTTTCCCGCTCAGCCCGCCGCCTCCCGGGTGGGGCGGCAACCGCCTCGACCCCGCCTCGTTTTAGCGAGCCAATAGGAACAGCTGACGCGGCAGTGGGCCCCGCCCGAGGCGGCCCGAAACCCTGAGCCGACCTAGCGAGCCAGCGGCCACTTCCGGCCGCGGGAACGAGCGCGTGGCCGCACCGGCGCGCGGCTCCCCCTGCTGGCGTCGCGCGGCGAGAGCGCCGAGCGGGAACGCCTCGGCCCACGGACGGCCCAGCGCGGGTTTCAGCCCGGCGTGTGTGGCAGTGGCCAGGCAGCACCACAGATTTACTCCTGACTCACATTTCCCCTGACCCTCGGCGCTGCCCCCCTGCTTTCCCCATCCTCGGCTTTCTGCTGGAAGTGGAGGGATGGTTCGAAAAAGAAAAATTAAAGTCCTCGAGTGCGAGGCAAAGATGGAGGAGGGCGCCCAGACCCCCGACTGGGACAGCGATGAGACGGTGATAGAGGGGTCGGTGACCGACAGCGACCTGGAGGAAGAGGAGCTGCGCTGGAGAAGGTGACCGCCGTTCACGCAGGCCTGGAGACAGTGACTCAGTTCCCCAGGCGCCGGTGGCGGGTTGGCCCCGGCTTTGAGTAGGAATTGCTACTGGCTGCAGACCCTTGGGGACAGCTAGGCCTGAGCCCAGAACTTGTAAGAAAGACCATAGCGTCATGTCCCCAATTTAGGACAGAGCCAGCTTTCTAATAGGTGACTTCTATGGCGCTTCAAAAAGGCTTTTCTCCCAACCGAGGCCCGTGAGTCTTTTTGCACACCCAAGAAAGTGTTGGGACTGAATCAGGTGGATTTTGCTTCCAGCAACGTATAGCCCAGGAATAGGAGGTAGTGAAAAGAATTTGTCTCAGGAGTAAAATGTGTTCGCCCCCGAACTGGTTACTCCCAAGCTGGAAGTGGGTACCCATTTCATTAAAAAAAAAAAAAAAAAGGGAAGGGTGGTCAATTTAGCTTTTTTTCTTGTCTTTCTTTTTTTAAAGACTTATTTATTTATGCTTACAGAACTGGGGTACAGGCCAGAGGTGCTGGGGTGGCTAGAGGATTCACCAGGGACAGAGTGGGGAGCAGAACAGGCAGATCGATGAAGTACACTAATGAGGGGAGCAGCGGGCAGGCCAGGACAGGTCTGCACACCACGTGGGTCAGCTCCCTGGCCGGGGATAGAACTAGTGCTGAAGTGGCTTGGGAGAGCTTCATAAGGCAGTGCTTTAACCAGTTGCACCACCAGGGAGAGCCCTGGGATAGCTCAATTTCACAAAACCTTGAATCTCTCTCATTTTCTATATTAGATAGTGGGAGAAGTCAGATGAGATGAAGCCATTGTCTTTGAGAAACCTACCAGAAAGTCAGAAGAGATGGGCCAGTTACCTTGAGCTAGGCTAGATAGACAAATACATTGCAATATAAATGTGGGAAGGTCAGGAAAGTATGCCCATAACCCAGGCGGCCCTTTATAGTTTCTAGGGTAGATCTTTGCATGGAGACTTGAAGGTGGGTTGGGAATTAGCCAGACCAAGAGATAAGATTATAGCCTATATATTTTGAATATTATATTCTAGATTCTTAGTCTTGTTAAAATCCTCCAGAGGGTGTTCATTTTTGCTTATTTTGATAGGCAAGCGAGCTGATTAGATTCTGACTGCATGTTCTGTTTTCCTTCTGTGGTTGTGGTTACATCAATCCAATTTTCAGAACCTTTACTATGCTTTGGATCTTCCTACTCATGTGCCATTCAAAGGGTAATACAGAAATTGGGCAGTAGTTAGTACCATATAGTTCTCTAAACTTACTTTGTTATGCTTCTCTGATCTCTGCATATGAACAGCTCAGGGTTAAGCCTGAGACTTATGTTGAATCACACACAAAATAAATATTGTCATTCACTTTTCCAGCTCTCTTTTCTCCAGGATTCTCATGTACCTTTCCCACCCCATTTCCTCATGCTGATTCATATGAACAGGAAGATAGATTTCTCTTAAAGTGTTAGCCTGATTGCTGTAAAGCTGTTTCCTATGACTGGGAATTGTCATTGGATATTGTGAAAATACCCACACAGATTTAACCCTGTAATTTTAATCTCAAATTCTCTGTGGTTTTGGGAAAATGGCAAGGAAAAAAAACAATCCACTCAAATAATTTCCTAGTTTTATCTCTGTTGAAAAACTATATTGATATTTATCCCATACTCCAAAATACACGCGCACACACTCACATATCAGAATATTGGTAAAAATGAACTTGAGGGCCCTCCCTGGTGGCCAGCAGGTTAAACACTAAGAAGCTAAAGCCACTTCCACCTGAGTTTGATTCCTGCCTGCCCTGGAGGAGATCCACATGGCGAGGCAGACCTCTCCTGACCCACCCGCTGCTCCCCTCAGCAGTGTACTTTGTGGATCTGCCTGTTCTGCTCTTCTCTCTGTCTCTGGTGAATCCTCTCACCCTTCACGTCTCTGGCCTGTACCCCAGTTCCATATGAATAAATAAATAAATCTTTAAAAAAAAATGAACTTGACTGTGAAAACTTCTTTATTTTTCATAAATTAGGGAAGTTTTAAACTAAAGGGTACATTTCTAAAAAATGCTTTGAAATAGAAATATTAGTGGTAGTATAATTACGAATGTTAGCAAGGCTAGTTGTAATAAAAATGATAGCTGAATTGTTAGTTTTTTGTTTAGGAAACATGATAAGTTGTGCCTTCTGTTTTGCTATTTGACAGGTTGCACCTTGATCAAGAAACGTCTCATAGATCTGAGTTCAGTCTTCATTCTGGTATGTGTAAAGGTGGTAAGTTATTCTTTTCACTAAGTAGTTCCTTAATTTCCTAAGTATTATTGTTTGATTAATTTTTCCTTTTTGATTTAGTGTTGTTCTTTACCATTTCATAGAGTTCGTTTCTTACAGGTAGATATTGTGTGTGTGTGTGTGTGTGTGTATATATATATATATACCCTAAGCTGTGTTACTGTAAAGACCCACCTCAAGAGCATAAACATATTACCCTTATTTTCACTTATATATATGATATTTTATATTTATATCATTATATATCTTTAGAATATTTGACATACAGGAAGGTAGTTTACCTAACATCATTTTTTTCACTTGGTTAATCAGTTATATTTTCTTTGGATTATATACTAGCATTGTGGATTTAAAAAAAAATAACCTAAGATGGAATAAAAAAGAGAAAATATTCTTTCTAGTTGGGTTCAAATCTACATAATTTTCTTTTAAGATTTATTTATTTATGCATACAAGAGCTGGGGTGCAAGATAGAGGTGTGGGATATGAGAGGATTCATTAGAGACAGTAAGGAGCAGAAAAGGTGGATCTACTGAAATACATTGTTGAAGGGAGCAGTGAGAAAGACAGAAGAGGTCTTCTGTGACATGTAGGTCACCCCCCTGGCCAGGAATCAAACTCGTAATGCAGTGGCTGTGGATAGCTTCACAGGGCTGTGGCTTAACCCATTGCACCACCAGGGAGACCCAGAGTTTACATAACATAATTTTCTATACACATTTTTTCTGTTTGTTCATCCTGAAGCAAAGAAATATAAGGAATGTTTTGTTGAGTGTAGTATGTGTTTCTTCCTCTTTAATGACTTAAAACCTTGATACTTAAAAGTAGCAGTTAGGAAATTATGGTTTATAAAATAATTTTTTTTAAAGATTTATTTATTTATTCATACAGAACTGGGGTACAGGCCAGAGACGCGGAGGGTGAGAGATTCACCAGGAACAGAGTGGGGAGCAGAATAGGCAGATTGACGAAGTACACTGCTGAGGGGAGCAGCGGGTGGGTCAGGAGAGGTCTGCTGCACCATGTGGTCACCTCTGGGGCAGGCGGGGATCAAACTCATGCCATGTGGATCTCCTCTAGGGCAGGTGGGGATCGAACTCATGTGGAAGTGGCTTAAGCTTCTTTGTGCTGTGCTTTAACCCGCTGTGCCACCAGGGAGGGCCTATAAAATAATTTTTAATAACATTTTGCAGTATATATAAAAAACGTTGGGTCATTGTCATAGCAGAGCAGTAAAACTGTTGGAAATGATTATATTTCATTGTAGATGCTCCTTCTCCAGAAATTCAAGTTAAATTCAAACTCAAAAAAGATCCACAAAAACAAATGAGTGAAAACAAGATGATGTCTGTTCATAGTGAGGATGCAGTGTTACAGGTGTGTCATAATTGATTAATTACATAATTGTTAAAAATTGGAAATGCTCCCATGGAATGGTGAATTATTAATGATAATTCTTTTTGTCTGTTATTTTGCTGCTGCTTTAATCTTTTACTCATTTTTTTCCTCCTTAGCCATCCTTGTTGAAACTCAGCTATTTCATATAAAGATCTACTGGTCAACAATTTAAAAAAATTTACCAGATTTTAAAATGGTGAAGAACTTAGAGACATTTCACTAAAGAGATATATAGGTGGCTGATAATCACACGTAAAGATATTCAGCATCATTAGTTGCTAGGGAAATACATATGAAAACACAATGAGTGACTACTTTAAACTAATTAGAATAGCTATATTAAAAAACCAAAATAATACCAACAAGTGTGGGTGAGGATATGGAGAAGTTAGAATTCTTGCTCATTGTTTGATGGGAACGTAGAATGGGGAAGCACTGTGGAAAATAGTATAGTAATTCTTCAAAAAATTAGATTCAGAAATTCCATTTCTGTGTATATATCTAAAATAAGTGAAAACAGGAACTCAAAAATATATTTGCATGTTTATGTTCATGGAAGTATTTGCAGCAGAAGGTGGAAGCAACCCAAGTATCTCAACAGATGAGTGAATATACAAAATATGGTATAGACATACAATGGAATGAGTATTATTTGGCCTTAAAAAGAAAGGAAATACTGATAACTTGCAGTAACATGGATGAATCTTGAAGACATATGCCAACAGAAATGAGTCAATTACAAAGAGAGAAATACTCTATGATGCCACTTAAATGAATACCCAGAATAGTCAAATTCAGTTTTTGAAAGTAAAAGGGTGGATATCAGGGGTTGGGGTGCAATAGAAGGGAGGAGTTAGTGTTTGGTGAGTATAATTTCAGTTGGAGAAGATTAAAAAGTTCTGCAGCTAGATGGTGCTGATGTTGGCATGTCATCAGGCATGTACATAGCACCACAGAATTATACACTTGAAAATGGTTAACATGTAAATTTTATGTTAGATATATTTAACCACAATATAGATTTTAAAAGAAGCTAAGAAAGTAACATAAGAATTATCTTAACTGTTAAATTTTTAGCTGGTTACATTGGATTAGCATTCATCAGTTTGAAAAAAAATTATTTTTCTTCTTAGCAAACTCAAGACAAAATGGAACAAAATCAAGGTCTGTTACAGTAAGTATACTAATTTTTGGCATTGTTGTAGATACTTTTGTCATTTTCCACATTTAAAATAAGTTCACTTATTTTTAGTTTTAAAAGTGTATTTTTTAGTAATGGCTCCTTTAGCCTCATAAATGTTTTACAAGCATTCTAGATAAGTTTTATTGCACAAAGAACCAACTAATGGTATTATGGTATTTGTTGTCAATGAAAAAAATGCAAACTTCAAAGTGAAAATTAGAGTTTAAGACCAGTGTCTAGCATCTTGACCTTGAGTTCTCCAATACTTCAAATTTTCTAGTGAGGTCAGTGGCATTTTTGTGAAAGTGATTTTTTTGGTATTTTATAATGAAAGGTATCAAGTGAGGATGATCTATATAACTCAGTGAATAAGTATTTCCTAAAAGATCAGTACATGATGTCACAAAATCAGGCACAGGTAAAAAGATCCACTGAAAGTGCTAATTAGACCAGTAGGTTATAATGTACCAGCATACAAAATGTTCATTGATTATTTTAGTTTCTACATTTCTGGTAACCTTTAAGGAATCTATTGCTTATAGAACTTTGGTATGTATTAAAAGGGAATAGCAACAATTTTCTAAAAAGTTTATTAAAATACTCTTTCCTTTTCAAACTGGTTGTCTGTGTGACCACATTTTTGTTGTATATGTAAAATAACATGGCAAAATATGAAATGAAGTTTGCAGATATGAGATGACAATAGTCATCTGTTAAGCCATACATTAAAGAGATTTTTAAAAAAACAATTCCATATTTCTCAGTAATATTTTTCATTTTGGAAAATATAAGTTTACATAAAAATTATTAACATGGTATTGGATTTATAATATGTAGATACAAATAAATGTGAGTTCACATATACTAAAGCTCTTTGGATTTTTCAGTAATTTTTTCTTTTTTAGATTTGTTTATTTATGCATACAGAACTAGGGTACAGGCCGGAAATGCAGGGGCAGTGAGAGGATTCACCAGAGACAGAGTGGGGAAACAGAACAGGCAGAATGTCAAAGTACACTGCTGAGGGGAGCAACGGGAGGGTCAGGAGAGGTCTGTCACACCATGTGGATCTCCTCCGGGGCTGGCGGGGATCGAACTCATGCAGAAGTGGCTTTAACTTCTTAGTGTAGCGCTTTAACCTGCTGCGCCACCAGGGGGGGCCCGGATTTTTTAGTAACTTTTAAGGTGTAAAGGAAAACAAAAAGTTTGAAGAACTGCTACTTTAATAAAACCCCTTTTTAAAAACATATCAGCAATACTTGTTCACCTGGAAAAAAAGAAAAGACTTGCTGCTTTAGCACAAGTTCAATCCCCAGCCAAGGAGGTGACCCACATGACGCAGCAGACCTCTCCTGGCCCCCCCACTGATCCCCTCAGCAGTTTCGTCATCGATCTGCCTGTTCTGTGCCCTGCTCTGTCTCTGGTGAATCCTCCGCATCTCCGGCCTGTACCCCAGTTATGTACGACTAAGTAAATAAATCTTTAAAAAAAAAAAGAAAAGAAAAGACTTAAGACTAGTGTATCATCCATAATTTCATAGCCCAGAGAAAACCATTGTTAACATCTTGGCCTATTTTATTTTAGACTTTGTATGTTTTTTAATTTTGCTCATATTTTCTGTATTAACAGACTCATTCTACAGATTACACCCTACCTTTAATTTTTAAGTAATAGCTGAAAATAATTTTCTCACATCACAAGTATTTTTTAAAAACTATTGACTTCAGAAAATTTCATTGTATACTAAAAAGATATTTACAACTTTTTAAAATAAGTTAGATGAAAGTTGCTATATTATCAGACATGTCTTAAATTTCATTTTGTAGTTAAGGGGAAAAATTCTGTTGTTAAACTGATTTTATTGTATTTTAAATCTTTTGTTTTTCTCAAAAGATCACACTTTAGGAAAAAAAATGGCACTCTTTTTCACTAGCCTCATAGAAATTATTCTGTATAAGCTGTTTCATTTCCATTTTGAAGATAGCTTTGTATTGGTCACTGCTATTTTTAGCTGGGAGAGAATTTTCAATTTGTTATTCTTGCTTAGGATTAAAGTAGCTATGCCTGGTCCATAAAAAGTGCTTTTAAGACAGTTGAAACAAAATTTTTCTCTTTTAGGAAGATATCTTGACTGCATTTTTGCAGTAAATTAGGATAAAAAATTAGTTAACTGATTGCTTGCATTTTTTCACTCAACTTTAAATTATCTCAGGGCAGGTAACCAAATTCCAAATTAGGAATGACCCTTTTTGCTTTTGACCTTTTCCCTTCAGTATTGTTTCCTTTTCCTGGCCTGCTGTGAAATACAAGAATCATGAATAATGTTTGAGAATTTCTCATTAGTGACTTTCATTTACATTTAAAACCATAATGTCAAACTTGCAGTATATTTGAGGATATAGATAATCAAACTACCTACTATTTAAGACTGGTTTCCCTCTCTGACCCCACCACCCATATTTGGCAGTCTGTTATAAATATGTATATATACATGTCAGGTTACTTTCTGATCTAAATGTAGTTTACCTTATTTGCACTACTGAAGTTTATCCATTTGCAATCAATTGAAACATAAATGTTAGTAAATTTGTAGTAATTTTGAAAGTAATTATAATTAACAAATCATTATCCTGTTTGTAAATTCTTTTAAATGAACAAAAATTTTTCATTTAATTTGAGTGAGAAAGTGTTTTTTTTCCTTTCCATTTTAACATTTATCTTTATTAATTAATTGATTTAATTTTTTAGGACTACGAAATGCCCACAGCTCACTGTGTCATTTTCCCAGCCAGAATTTTCACTGAACCATCAAAGCATTCAAGGTATCTGCTCATGGCTTGAGTAATATAAAGTGTCATGGCCTAAAAATATCTACAACTAGTATGGTCCACTATACATTATGACCAAACATTATTACATATGAAATCAATGTTGCTGTTGATCTTGGGTCCTACTGAAGAAAGTTGCCCATAGAAGTCCCTTAGATGCTATCACTACTGTTACTTCATTTGCCTACTTTTCTGACTTGTAATTTTAAAACAAATATTTGAAAAGTGTTTCTCTGTTCATAGCCTTCATATGTCATGGTTGTATTGATTGGCACTCATAGACCATTTATCTTAGTTGCAGCTGTATTGGGCATAGCTTTTACTTTGAAGTGTGCCCTCGTGAGTGTAGTGAGTGACCCCTCCAAGGTGAATATTATGTATGTTGTATGACAGGATTTCATAAATTGTGTTAGTGGTCAGTGAATCCTTGTATTGTAAGAATAGGACATAGGACACATGGCTTCAAATTGAAAAGATTAAATGTGAAAAACTCTTTGTTAGTACCACAACATTAGTACCATGACTTATGCCTACCACCAACTCTTGTATCTTCTTTAGTACCTACATATTGGTCTTTACTTTTATTTGTTCATTATTTTAACAAATACTAATTGAGCCTACTTTGTGCAATGTGTATGGGTGCTATGGATGTACAAATGCTAAATAAACTAGGGATTTTTAAAGGATAGCTGGTCTGTCTTGGTGTACAAAGATGTCTGAGACATCCTTCCATTGTTGAAAAGTAAGGATCCTTCCAACGGTGTCTAAGGGCAGTGCTAAAAGGATAAAGGTCTAGCTTAATGATACTTCCACTGGACAAATTAAAGGGTGGGACCAGTAATAATTATAGTTCATGAAAATTTTTTTTTCATTTGTAAAAACTGCTTTAAATTTTATAGCTAGGAAAAATGCTTATTTTTAACACACAATGAAATTACTATATTTTATTATATTAGTTTACTAAATTTTAAAAATACAACTGTTGGCAAAAACTACTGATCATTTTAATGATGAAGTGGTTAAAGACATCATCATGTTTTGAGGGTTCTTTTTGACAGTTGTATCTAAGAACTTATTTAAAAAGAAAAAACTCCTTGCAAAGATATTTGGAGATGGAACTATTGTTTTAAAATGATTCTTGCATTGGTATTAAATTTTAAGTCAGATATATAAAAATGTTAAATAACAAGACATAGATAGTATAATATAACATCATTGCTTGGCATAAATGATTCCAGTGTAAGGATAAGAAATTATTTATTCTTATGATGGCTCATGATTCTCTAAGGAAGTGAAATGCCATGACATTAATCCTTTAAAAGTGCTTTTCATCATCAAATAACAAATTTGAAGCAAGAAAAATGATAGGTTTTTATAATATAAAGCCTAACAAACATTTATACTTATTTCCTCTCTACTCCCACATATGCAAAGCCTATCTTGCTTTTCAGGATGCAACCTGAGGTTCATCATATAATTACCTGAATATACTGAGTTCTAGATATTGCCTAATCAAAAGAAACCAAAAGAATGATTCATACATACCTGAAATACCAGTAAGCCCTGAATTCCTACCTGAGTATATCAGAGTGCCTACACCTTGAATGTGAAGAGAGGAAGCAAGAGGAGTGGAGTAGAAGAAATAACTTTTTTCCTGATCTTCCCTTCAACTTCACTTGTAAATGGTTGTCAAGTCTGTCAGCCAGGCAGCAGGGTGAAGAGTGGATAGTGAGGGTGAAGTCACATTTAGGACAACCTCTTGCTTCCTTTTGGCCCCTACCCAGGAGTTCATGCCTAACTCCAGATATTATTAGTTCATTGAAATTCTGTTGCCTAAATTGGAGATAATGACACTGAGAAGTTGATAAGAGTTTTTCCTCATGTAGTTACAAATTGTTAGAATAAATCAGTCCAAATGGAAGTTTGTGGTTTTCATTTTTTTTAGTTAAATTAATCCCAGCAACTATACTTTTACCTGCACAATGTAAAAATATTTTTTAAGAAACAAAACTTAACTTTATTGCCAAAATACAGATACTTCTGTATCAACATATTGACATACTATTTATAAAATACTTGATATGTCACATGAGATGCTGAAGGAATCATTTTAGGTCACATTATTAAGAAATATTGAGTGAGAGGGTATGTACTTAGTGTGTTTTTAAAACTAGAGTGAAAATGTATATTGTTATCTTCTAGGGCCAGAGGCTGAAAACTCTGAAGGTTTGATACACACAGAAAAGGTTGGTTTGTAAAACATACTACTAACTATACAGATCATGAGTTTCAAGTCAAAAGAAAGTTTATATTGATTAAAGTATAGTTAAGATATAGGGTAAAATCCCCCACTTTTGTGGGCTTTCTAGGGTTCTTTTAGGACGGGAAGAATCAAAGCAGCATCATGTGGGTTAGCAAAGGAAAAATCAATTTAATAACATTATGTGTGAAGAATTTACATCGTTGTAAATTCTTTAAAAAGCATTGAAATGGGAATCTTTATCCTTTGATTAAGGACCTGGGTGTCCAGAAGAGAGAAAGGAGGAACTTCGCATGACAAGGAGGGCATTACATTCTTCATGTTTACGCTAAGAGTAGACATCATTACTGATAAACCTGTACCTGGATGCTCTCCCTTAAACTAAATTCTTAGAGGTCCTAGAAAGGGAAAGCAATGATTGCTCTTCAGTTAAGAAAATGGCAAATAATTGACACTAAAACAAAATTTCGCTTAGCCTCTAAGGCCTATACTGCTCTCAACTTAAAATAACCTGCATTCTTTATGTTATGGTAATAGACTTAAGGATGCTCACAAGATACCCTGTGACCTTTAGTTCCCAATACCAAGGTGACTCTTACTGAATAATGCATACTCAGGGCATGAGAAAAGTCTCTTTGACTCTTTTGGGGAGACCTCCCACAGTATCAAGCCTATTTTAAGCTCTTCTCCTAGGAAGGAATATCATCAAGCAATTTCAGTAGACAAATCTTTTCTTCTCTAACCACCCCTTCCAGTCTTTATTCTTCTTTACTTCTTAAAGATTTATTTCATTTATTTATACATACAAGAACTGGGGTGTAGGCCAGAGGTGTGGGAGGATGAGAGGATTCACTAGAGACAGAGTAGGGAGGCAGGTTGACTGATATACACTGCTAAGGAGAGAGGCTAGCGAGAGGAGCAGTCTGCTGTGCCATAAGGGTTCGCTCCCTGGCTGGGAATCAAGCCCATGCTGTAATGGCTGGTGATAGCTTGATAATGTTGAGACTTCAACCTCTGTGCCACCAGGGAGGCCCTCTTCTTTATTTCTAGTGAACTAGTATTTTCTGGATCTGTGTTTTGTCATGTTCTTTATCTAGATGAGGAGTGTATAACTGACCATCAAACTAGTTGCTGAGATGATACAGCAAAAAAAATTTCTGTTGAGCTATTACCCTAGTTCCCTAATTTTTCCCCTGCTATCCCATATTCCAGTTGCTATTCAGTAACCATGCATTCAGTGCTTGCTTTGGCTTACTTTCTTAAAATGATTATAGGTGCTATGGAGATTCAGAGTACTAAATAAGGACTGCCTATAATGAACTAAAGCAGTCATATACTTCCCAGGCCAAACCTATCATGCCTGTAATTACTTCATCCCCACTGTATTTACACATTCCCACTTCCATGTCTTTGTTCAAATCAGGATCCAGAAGGCAAGAGAAATAGCATAAAATTTGGGACCAGATAGGTGTGTGTCCTAAGGATGAGTGTGTCATTTACATGTACAAAAAAACATAGTGTAATATCTCTATTGCATAGGGCTATTGTGATGACTGAGAGCAATAATAGTTCATGATGTCTGATACCTAACTGGTGCTTAGTATATATGTGTTCCTCCTTTCTTTACTCCACAAATCTTTAATTTCTGGCTTTGTCTCTTCTCTGTGGCTATACCTCAAACAGTCATCATAACCAAAGTAATTGCTCCCTGTCTAGCATTCGCTATTTACTGACTATATGATTGTTTGCCCAAGTACTTGCATCCTATCACATTAACAGGTATTCTGAGAAAAAGGATTTTTTGAACAGTTTAGAGAACACTGTATCTATCCTAAGTCTCCTAAGAAATTTATAATGCTCATGCTAAGAAAAGTATTGTGGTTAAGAAATCTGTTTAATTTTGTTTAGCCAGGCATTTTTAAAGCAATCATGGAACCAAGCTACAATGAAAATCTCCCTTTACCTCCCATTGTTCCCCTAAAAATCTTATAACACGGTGGGTTTGATGGTTTGTTACTCATTTGACTTCAGTATTCTTGACTTTATACTTTTATGTCTTATGTATTTATTCCTTTGATCCTCTGATGGAAATGAAGCTCCATAAGACTGTACATGTATATAATTTAGTAATATTTGGAGTCTTGAATTTTGCAAATATAGGACTTTGAATAGGAATATCTGTGATTGTAACTTAAAGAATGGGTAGGCTCTTGTTCTTTAATTCCATCTAAATCCCTTTTATCTTAATAAGGAAATTACATTTGTATTACTAATAAATAAGTATATTTTTAAGTTCTGTATGTTATATACAGAGAAGATCAATGGTGGCAGGTAGAAAAGGAGGAAAGGAAGAGGAAAATTTGCACTTCTTATTCAAATCAAATCAGAATATTAAGAGGGCTTACAAACTACAGTGTTGCAATCAAAGTCATTAAAACTCATTGTGTTATTTAAGGTAAAAAAAATTAACAGTTTTTCATGTAAAACAGTTCATTGTCTTTAAACCAGTTCATTGAGACGGTTTTTTTTTTTTTTGGTGGGGGGGAGTAATATATAAATGGATTTTAAAGCAGTATCAAAAAAGGAAGTTTGATGGTTTTTTTGAGCATTGGAAACATTGCCAGAATAGGTATAGTATTATTAAAGTTGTTACAGACTCAACAAATGTGGTTTTGGGGATCCCCTCTGAGAAAGAATTCATCAAAGAACATCAGATAACCAGGAAAGGTTAATCATGATTTGTCCACAAAGGAGTTTATGCTAAAAGAGGAAATTTTATGCTTGACTCCTCAAAGGAAGCTAGAAAGGAGTTCTTACAGTGTGGATCTACCAAGTTGGGGCAAAGAAAAACAGTACCATAGCATGTTCCGAGCTGGGCCACATTGGGGCATGTGCAATGTATGCTCCTTCATACATTGCATATGTCATTAATATCTAAAGTCTCCACGCAGGAGTATGCACGTTATCATGCTGTGATGCTGGTCACAACTTGTCGTGATTACTATCTGCGCATGGGGAGCCCTCCAGCCTCCCCTCTGTCAGGAAGTTGTAAAACAATTATCAGTCATGATATATCCCCTTTGGTCTGGGCTTGACACCTCTGGTCAGTCTGGTGGGCCAATTGCTCGATCATGTCAGAAAATACCTGACAACTTGAGATCTAGTATACCTGTTCAAGCAGGACATTTGGCTACTACCGTACTAGCTTGCAATTTTGTTCATCTAGGCTGTCTCAGTGTGATGTGTTATTTTGAAAAATGATTATATTTAGAAATACAAAACAACCACATCCCCAAACCAGTGTTTTATAGACAGGGCTCATATTATTTACCTAGAACTGTGTCCTTATTTCTCCTCTCCACTCTCCCTCACTACCAACCTTCTATCCTGACCTTTTCATTGCACATTTACATATTCATACACAGGTAGAGAATAAAAAGAATGTGAGACTACACTAATTTTATTTCTGGTTATTATTTTTTATATAACTCAACAGAAATGTTTGTTAACGGAGAATTTTACAACCATTAAGTCCAGTGAAGTTTTCAGATCATCTGTTGAACTATTATTGCCATTTTTGTCTTTTGTTTTAGCACAGATATTTTAAATTTAGCTGGATAGATAATTTGCCATCAGTAATTATGGTCCAGTTAATTTTGCCATTAGTCAACTATTAAATGGTTAGCCACTTTTTCAGAGGCTTAAGTGGTTTGGTATAGGAAAGTAGTAAAGGGTATTTTTATTACTGGAAGGGGAGAAAAGTTGATGAAAATTTTTGGTGATAACTAACCAACTTGATAAACTATAGTTTGAAAGTATAGTTCTTATGAAAACTAAAAAACTGTAAAGCTTTCATTTTAAACACTTCTTGGTATATACTGTAATGATGGAATTTCTATTTGGAATACACAGGAACTAAGTGAAGACAAAGAGTCGCCTGAAATTAGTCTTCTTTCCGGTACAGTTGTCACAGTATCTGATAAGACTACTGTAAAGCAAAAATTGCTAAAGGAGCCAGAGAAGATCTTAGGAGCACCAAATACATTTGCTGAGCCTAGAAATGAAGTCATATTGGCTAAAACTTCTGAAGAAACCAGGGATGAAGAAAGCTCACTTGAAACTTTTGTGTCTGCCATAGAAAGGTTATTGCCATCACCAGTAGTTACCCAGGAGGAAAGACTATTTGATATCATGAGTGACTTTGAGCCTAAAGAGTTGATGAACACACTGAGCAGATCTTCAAGTTCCATATCAATACCCTTGACATGTCATGGAGATTTGCTAGAAAACACAAATGATGATGCATTGCCATATGAGCTGTTAGCAGCTCTAAACATGTTGTCAGAAGCCAAGGTAGAACCCATCTGTCACAGAAAAGAGGGAGGCAACATTCTCAATACTGGGGATGAATATGTAGAGCTGGAGCCCAATACGTTTCAAACTGATGAAGGCTGTATACAAAAAGCAGAGGTGAGTTTTGACTCTTTGTTCTACTCTACTATTTGAAAAGATGCCGTTAGCTGAGCTTCAGGATAAACATCTTTCAGGGCAGCAAGTATGTGTGCATGGTTTTGCCTTTTATAGTTATCTTTAACTTTTCATGGCCTATGTAATTTATTTTAAACTCAAGCCATCTACCCATTATCAATTAAATAGTTGTATTTAGAAAATACAACTTTACTTTGAAGTACACAGTGATCTTTTAAGAGATTTCTAGGGTAGAGTTTCAAGGGCTTAAAAAATTAAAACAGGGAAATTTCTGTCCAGAAGAACTGGAAGATTGAGATTGCTTACATAGAGGAAGGAAAGAACTATATCAGAATATTTCCTGTTCAGAGTGCATAATTAGACCTGAAATCCCACATTAATTTTTCACTGAACATTGAATCTATAGAGTGGGACTGCCAGGAGAGGGAAAATACTTTGCCTCACATAAGCAGATCTTTGCCTTCTGTGCCTGAGGATACTGTGAGGTGGCCCAGGTCTGGGGTTTAGAACTCCTGAAGCACAGGCGTGGAGACTCTGCAGTGGCCTGGCACATGCTAAGTCCCTTTTTCATATTGATGGTTTTTTTCCTTTTAAAAATAATATCTTTTGAATATCTTTTGTTCCTGATCACAATGATAATACATTCTTAAACAACATGTCATTTAGAAAATATTAAAAAAAAAAGTCCCTTAGAGATAATCACTTAACAGTTTGATGTATATTTTATTTGATTAATTTTTGGTGTACATTTTAATTAAAAACTATATAAATTGGGTTGTATTGTACATAATGCCTTATAACTTGTTTCTTTTTAACTTAATGTCTTATTTTCTGCATCAGCAAATATAGCACTAAAATCTTTTTATTTCTTGAATGATACTCTACTGTGTAACTATACTATATGTATATATCTATAGGTAAATATATATGCATGAATTAATATATGCACATTATATAGCTTATTTAACCAGTTTATTAATGATGGTCATTTGTATTCTTTTTGCAATTATAAAAATTTTGTGTCGGCCCTCCCTGGTGGCGCAGCGGGTTAAAGCACAGCACTAAGAGGCTGGGGCCACTTCCGCATGAGTTCGATTCCCGCCTGCCCCGGAGGTGACCACATGGCGTGGCAGACCTCTCCTGACCCGCCCGCTGCTCCCCTCAGCAGTGTGCTTCGTCGATCTGCCTGTTCTGCACCCCACTCTGTCTCTGGTGAATCCTTTCACCCTCCGCATCTCTGGCCTGTACCCCAGTTCTGTACGAATATATAATCTTTAAAAAAATTTTTTTTGTGAACATTTCTGGGAAGATTTAAATAATATACTGAACTCAAGTTGCAACGTACTCACCTGGAATAATGCATATAATTATGGTTAAAAAAGTCTCAAAGCAGGGGCTCTCCCTGGTGGCGCAGTGGGTTAAGGCATTGCACTAAGAAGCTTAAGCCACTTCCGCATGAGTTCGATTCCTGCCTGCCCCGGAGGTGACCACATGGCGTGGCAGACCTCTTCTGACCTGCCCGCTGCTCCCCTCAGCAGTGTACTTCGTGGATCTGCCTGTTCTGTACCCCACTCTGTCCCTGGTGAAGCCTCTCACCGCCTCTGAGCCTCTGGCCAGTACCTCAGTTCTGTATGCACAAATAAATAAAAAAATCTTTAAAAAAAAAAAGTCTCAAAGCAAATAGAGAAGACTAAAAAATATTAAGAAAAAGAAATTAATTATGGAGGGTAGAGCATGAAGATTCAATTAAACACGCTAGAGTTCTAATCTAAAAGGAGATAATATGAATAAAGTAAAAAATTATGATTGGTATTGATTAAGCACAAACTTGGCAAATTTTCTAAGAGAAAAAACCCTTTTCTAAGTTGAAAGAAGATCTGTTTAGAACCAATTAACTTAAATCCTCTTTAACTCAGCCATCATAAAAAAGTGGAACTTGTTATTTTAAGAAACTTTGTAAACTGGAGATATAAATAGCACAAGAAAGGTCTACATGCTATTTAAAAAAAACATATATCCTTAAAGTTAAATCTAATGAATTATGGGGAAGTTAATGCTACTCATAACACTGCTGAGTCACTGTAATGGAGGATATGTGTATCTTGTGCAACAAAGTGTCACTGCTGCTGTCAAAGAACAAAGTGATGGACTGAATGTACCATTAATCTGGCCTATTATGACATTTCTAATGTTTTTACATAATTCTCATCTTATACCCATTTCCTGTGAAACTAAAGTACCTAGAGTGACCTTAGGTTTTCCTTCAAATTTTAAGGATGAATACTGATTAGAACATATCTGAGGCTTTTCACTCTGTATTGTCATTTGTTGTGTTAATTATTATAAAGTGTTATGTTCATACATTTATGGATTTTTTTAAGGGCTTATTTATTTGTGCATATAGAACTGGGGTATGGGCCAGAGATGCAGGGACAGTAAGAGGATTCACCAGAGACAGAGTGGGGAGCAGAACAGGCAAATTGATGAAATACACTGCTGAGAGGAGCAGAGGGCTGGTCAGGAGAGATCTGCTGGCGCCATGTGGTCACCTCCCTGGCTGGAGATCCAACTCATGAAATGACTGTGTCCAGCATCATAGTGCTGTGCTTTAATCTGTTTTCCCACCAAGGAAGGCTCCACCTATGGATTGTTGCACTTTCATTGTATGAAGCATTTTAGTGTAATAAAAGCACAAGATAAAATATTCCCTCTAGTTTTTTTGTTGCAGTGTTGTAATTATTTGTGTATATATTTATATTTTATAGACTGTAGAAGATCCAGATACATTTGGATTACAAACTGTGATTCATCAGAGTGTCACCACTTGTGATCCACTGTATAATAAGAGAAATTCAACTCCAGTAGAAAATAGCTCTGACAAGGACACTGGTGTGTTACGAAGATCATCTAGACTGAAAACAAGCAGAAATGCAGATTGCATGTATACAGTATCAGAAGAGATTTTACCAAAAATTCTCAACTATAAGGATGAAACCAATAACTCTTCTGCTGAGAATTTCAGGTATGCTACCAAATAATATCTTTCTCCCCAAGTATGCTACAGATCGCATAGATAATTTTATACTTGGGATATTAAAGTCAGTGTGCTGTTACCCCTAAACAAAGAATTTTATTTTAAAATGTTATTTTAATGTTTTGTTTTCTGTTAAGGTCTCAGAAAACTTACGTTTTTAAAGATAAAGTAATGGGATATTTGTTGTATTTTATCCTATGCTATTTTTTTATTATTTATTTATTTATTTATTTTTTAAAGATTTATTTATTTGTACATACAGAACTGGGGTACAGGCCAGAGGCTTAGGGGCGGTGAGAGGCTTCACCAGAGACAGAATGGGGAGCAGAACAGGCAGATGGACGAAGAACACTGCTGAGGGGAGCAGTGGGCAGGTCAGGAGAGGTCTGCCACGCCATGTGGTCTCCTCCGGGGCAGGCGGGATTTGAACTCATGCGGAAGTGGCCTTAGCTTCTCAGTGCAGTGCTTTAACCCGCTGTGCCACCAGGGAGGGCCTATGTATTTATTTTAAAGATTTTTTATTAATGCATACAGAACTGGGCTATAGGCTAGAGGTTCAGGGGCAGTGAGAGGATTCACCAGAGACAGGTGGGGAGCAGAACAGGCTGACTGCTGTATGAAGTACACTGCTGAGGGGAGCAGCGGACGGGTCAGGAAAGGTCTGCCGCTCCATGTGGGTAACTTCCGGGGATTGAACTCGTGCTGAAGTGGCTTTAGCTTCTCAGTGCTATGCATCAATCTGCTGCGCCACCAGGGAGGGTCCTCTGTATTTATTTTTATTGAAGTAACATTGGTATACATTATTTGTGTTTTGAAAGTATAAGGACTTTCCTCAGCATACCCAACACCAAACCAAACCACCACAGTTAATTCCATTGGTCAGTTATGCTTCCTATGCACTGTTCTCATTCTTAATCCATATCCCTCCCTCACCTTCTAGTCTCAATTCTATAGTCAACTTTCTAGGGTTTATTGTTATCTTGGCTTTATCTGGCCCTGTTGTGTTTCTCTATATGCCACATATAAGTAACACATTATTTGGTTTTCTCTTTCTACATTATATTACTTAGCATAATTCCCTCCAGCTCTGTTTATATCCTTGCAAATGGAAAGTGTTTCTTTTTTGATATCTGAGTAGCACTGTATGTAAATACCCCATCTTCTTGATCCACTCATCTGTATTTGACTTAGATTGTTTTCATAGGTTGGCTATTGTAAAAAGTGTTGAAGTGAACATAGGAGTGCAGGCTTCCCTTCAAATTAGTGTTTTTGCATTTGTTTAATAAATACCCAGGTCATATGACAGATTCACTTTTAATATTTTTGGAAGCCTCCATATTGTTTTTCATAGAGGCTGATCCAGTCTACTTTCTGACCAAAAGTGTATAAGGGTTTCTTTTTCTCCACATCCTTTCCTGGACTAATTTTTTGTCTTTTTTTGAAATGGGACATTCTTATAGGTGGGAGATGGTATCTTATTGTGTTTTTGATCTGCATTTCCAATACCAGTTATTGAAGATTCTTTCATGGCTCCAGTGTATATTCTTGGCTCTTTTGTTGTAGACAACAACAAATTCTATTTTATTGATCTCTGTATCTATTTTTAGTCTAGTGCCATACTGTTTTGATTACATGGCCTTGTTGTATAATTTGAAATCTAGCAGTGTGATTCTGCCATACTTCCTTGATTTTGTCGAATTGCTTTGGCTATTTGGGGTGTTTTGTGGTTCCATATAATTTTCAGTACTGTTTTGTTTCTCTGAAGAATGCTATTGAAACTTAGGTTGGGATTACATTAATCTATATATTATAATGTTTATTTTTCCAGTCCGTGAACAGGGAATATCATTTATTTCTTTGTGACTTCTATTTCTTTTAATAATATAATAGTTTGGCCCTTCTTGGTGGCGCAGTGGGTTAAAGCACAGCACTAAGAAGCTTAAGCCACTTCTGCATGAGTTCCATCCCCTGCCCGCCCCCCACCGCGGGAGGAGATCCACTTGGCGAGGCAGACCTCTCCTGACCTGCCCGCTGCTCCCCTCAGCAGTGTACTTGTCAATCTGTCTGTTCTGCTCCCCTCTCTGTCTCTGGTGAATCCTCTCACTCTCCGCATCTCTGGCCTGTACCCCAGCTCTATATGAATAAGTAAATAAATCTTTTAAAAAAATAATATAATAGTTTATTTTTACATCATTTTGTGCCTTTTTCCATCTCAGTTGTAATCCCCATGGACTTCCCATCACCATATCACCCATGTGCCATCACCATAGTCCAGTGCACTTCCCCCCCCCAACATTTTTTATCCTATTTCCCTCTCCACCCCCATAAAATGCGACTAACTTTTCTTTTAATAGTGTCTTATAGGTTTCTTTGTCTTGGCCCTTTGTTAAGTTCATGCCTAGGTATTTAATTCTTTTTGGTGTTATTGTAAATGGAGTCCTTTTCTTAATTTCTTCCTCTAGCTCATTGTTTGCAAATAGGAAAGCATTTGAGTTCTACTTGTTGATTTTGCAGCCTGCCACTTTGCTAACTGACCTACTGTTTCAATTAGTTTTTTTAGTGGAGTGTTTGAGATTCTCTGTGTATATTGTCATGTCACCTGCAATAATGATAGATTTATTTCTTTCACAACTTGGATTTCTTTATATCTTTCTCTTGCCTAATTGCCCTAGCTAGAATAGGTCTCCCAAATACTGTATTGAAAGTATTGGTGGAAGTGGATATCTTTGCCTGATGCCAGATTTTATGGACAAAATTTTTAGTTTTTCACCACTGAGAATGATGTTAACTGTGTATTTGTTATATCTGGCCTTTACTACATTGAGGTATGTTCCTTTAATCCCCAGTTTTTCAAGTGTTTTCATTAGAAATGGATATTGAATCTTACCAGATGCTTTCGTGGCATCTACTGATATGATCATATGATGTTTATATTGCATTTTATTGATGCGGTAAATTATATGGATTGATTTTCAGATGTGTTGAACCACACTTATATACCTGATATAAGTCCCATTTGGGCATGGTATATAGCATTTTTTAAAAAGATTTATTTATTTATGCATACAGAACTGGGGTACAGGCTAGAGGTACAGGGGCGGTGAGAGGCTTCACCAGAGACAGAGTGGGGAGCAGAACAGGCAGATTGGTGAAGTACATTGCTGAGGGGAGCAGTGGATGAGACAGAAGTCTGCTGTGCCATGTGGGTCACCTCCTTGGCTGGGGATTGAACTTGTGCTAAAGCAGCTGCAGATAGCTTCATAGTGCTGTGCTTTAACCTGTTGCATCACCAGGGAGGGCCCTGGTATATAGTATTTTTAATGCATTGTTGAATCCTGTTAACTAAGATTTTGTTGAGATTTTTTTTGCATCTATGATCATTAGGAAATATTGGTCTTTAGTTTTTGTTTTTTTCCCCCTGGTTTTGGTATTAGAGTAATGTTGGTCTCATAAAATATATTTGGAAGTATTCCCTTTTTCTCAATTTTTGGAAAGTGTTTGAGGAGGATAGGGATTAGCTCATTTCTGAAAGTTTGGTAAAACTTACTTGTGTAGTTGCCTGGTCCCGAACTTTGTTGTCTCCGGAGATTTTTAACTAATCTTTCAATTTCCTTGCTTTTAATTTGTCTATTTGGGTTTCCTTTTTCTTCCCTGTTCATTGTTGTTTTCCAAACCTTTACTCTGAGTCTGTGTTTGTCATTTGAGTTCAGTTATGTTTCCTGTATATAGCACAGAGTTGGACTCTGTATTTAATTGTATTTTTTTCTTAATCCAAACTGATACTCTGTTCTTTAATTGGTGACTTTAGCCCATTTATATTTAGAATGATCACTGATATATGAAGGTCTAATATTGCCATTTTGTCCTTGATTTTTATGTCCTTTGTTAGTTGTTTGTAGATGTTCTTTTTAATTTAGATATAGAGCTCCTTTCAAGGTTTCTTGGAGGGATGATAATAGTGTTTGCAAATTCCTTCAGCTTCTGTTTGTCTCAGAAGTCCTTTATGTTTCTCTTGTATTTGAAGTATAACCTTGCAGGGTAGAGTGAGCTTGACAGGCAGGTTTTATCTTTAAGTGTTTTGATGATGTCATTCTATTCTTTCCTTGCCTATCATATTGTTTCTTCAGAGCAGAAGCATTTCTTCAATAAGCCCCATCAGGTTTACTTCTTCCCTCTAATCTTCTGTAATATTCTTTCCTGTTTGAATTCTTGGAATTTTAACCACCATGTGTCTTGGAGTAGGTCTCATTTTATTACAGTATCCTGGTATTCTTTTTAGTTTTGTGCATTGCATATTTAGTTCCTCCTCAAGATTTGGGAAGTCTTCCTTTATTATCTTTTAAAATAAGATCTCTGTTCTCTATCTTTGCCTTTTGGGAAATCTATTATTCCTTTTTCACCTTTCCTCAAGGAGTCTGATAATTCTTGAAGCGCTCTATTCATCTCTCTCTTTTACCTAAATTTGTTGTGCAGCACCCCTCAAGTTCACCGATTTAGTCTTCCATTTGATCTGTTCTACTTCCATAGCTTCCTCTAGAATTCATTTCCCTCTATAGATAGATCCTGCAGCTTTGTTATTTTCCAATTTGAGTCTTTAAATCTGTTTGTTCACTTTCTCAGGACATTCATTTGTTTTCTGAGCTTTCTTCCATTTCTTCATTGTGGCAATTTTGAATTCTGTGTTTGACAGGAAGAAATTGTTGTCCATGTCCTTTTGTTTGGAATGTAGGTATTTGTTCTCACTCTGTGGTGTAGAATTCCCCTGGGAGCTCACACTGCCAGTTGGGGTCTTTTTGTCCCTGAATTACTTTCTGAAAACTAAGGGTGTTAAACTTCCTCTTTTCCAGTAGATGGCACTATATAACAGGGAGAACAAATCGGTAGCTGGCGCTTCAGTGAGTGGGATCAACAAAGGAGCTGTTGCTCTCAAGAATGCTGTGCTGCACAGGTGGATTGGTGGTGGGAAGCCCATGGGGACTACAACTGAGATGAAAAAATGCACAAAATGAAGAATGATGTTAAAAAACAAACAAACAACAACAAAAAACCAAATAAACATAAAAGAGTGCTGTACTGGCTTGGCTTGTTCAGACTGGTGTCTCCATAGTTTGCATGATAGGCCCTTTGTGCAGCCCTGGTGAACTCCAGGGTGGTCTCATTATATTCACTTGGACTGGTATCTACCTGTATACAGTGGCTCTTGGGGGATCTGGATGGGGAGAGCCATGCCTTTCTGAACTTTATTCTCCACTGTGGAAGCCCCTGCCTGCCTCACTCCTCACAGCACTCATGTCCCTATCTAGTTTTGTCTGCATCCTCAACACTCAGCTTTGCCTTCCACAGGTGCAGACATGAACTGCAGTTTCTGTCCTGCCTGCTGCCTCTCCCTCCACTCAGCCTTTGTTCTTGTAAGGTGAAATTTCTCTGCATCTCTTCTGTTTGTTGTTCTTGTTCAGCATTTTATTTTAATTTTTCATTTCTGTGATGACTACATGACGTTAAGCACCTTTCACTTACCTGTTGACTGTTTCTATATCTTCTTTAGAAAACTGTCTGTTCAGATTCTCTGCTCAGTTTTTAGTCAGATTGCTTATTGCATTTTATGAAGTCTTTAGTCAGATTGACTATTTCTATTGCATTTTATGAAGTCTTTGTTTTGGATCCCAACCCCTTATTAGATGTTATTTTCTCCCATTTGGTAGGTTGTCTTGTCCCTTCCTTGTTAATTTCATTTGGTGTACAGAAATTTTTAAATGTGGCATAGTCATATCTGTTTATTTTTTCTTTTTGTTGTCTTTGCATTTGCTGTCAAATCTAAACTATCATTTCTAAGATCAGTGTCATGAAGCCTACTCTCAATTTTTTTCTTCTGGGAATTTGATGGATTCAGATCTAAAGTTTAACCTTTCAATCGATTTTGAGTTTGTGCCTCTGATATAAGGTCATGATTCAGTTTCATTTCTTGTATATATGTGATTCTCCACTTTTCCCAGCACCATTTATTGATGACCGTGT